CCCCAAAACCCCAAAACCCCAAAACCCCAAAACCCCTTTAAAAAGGAAGAAATTGCAAAATTTTAAACAATTCAGAGAATATGGATTACTTCTGATTAAGCCCTTCTTCTTGGCTTTTTTGGTCCTTCTTTCCTATCTTGTTTGATCTTTTGGCGATAAATTCACTATAACTACCCTGGACTTATTCAGTAGAGTCTCTGGCCATTCAAATTTTTGGTCGCTTCTTCCTGACCTTCTTAATGATCTCTTTTTACTTTCTTCTATTCTCTTCCAGCTGCTTCTATAGAGGTTTTAAATGAGGAAGAGATCTTTTTGAACTTTAGAGTATTGCTCTTTAAGGTTGTTTAGACTTGTGGGGTTCTTAGTTATTTCTGTTTCGTAGTTTATGGTGGAGTACCTCTAATTATTGTCGACCCTGTTATAGTTTTTCTTCAAGTTTTTTGTAATTCAGGATATTCCTTCTAGGTGAGATCAGTTAGACCAGTAGAAGAGATAGTCTATAGTTCATATCTTTTCTTTTGAAGCTCCTTCATCCTTCTGTAATATTTTTATTATCATCCTGATTAGCAATATTTTCATTACAGATACGACCTCTCTGTCTCTTTTTTGTTGCTTCTTTTGTGGAACCAATGATTTTTTAGACTTCTCATTCTTTAGTTTTTCACATCTTTCATCTATCTTATTTGGAAATTGGCATTGGGAGTCTGCTATTCTTTTAAACTTTTTTCTTAAATTCTTGTTCTTAATTGTCAGCTCCTCTACCACTTGGTCCTTACCATTCTGTTCTTTAAGAGGAATGCTTTGTTCGATTCTGCAGATATCAAATTTTTTTATGAAATAATTTAAAAGCTAGCCATGCCAGTGCTCCTGTGGCAATCAGTCCTTCTAAGGCTATGAAGGTTTTCCTCCTTATCCTATAAGATGAGTCTGATCAGCTTGGAAATCGACTTTTGTAACTTCTTAGAGGTAGCTCTATACTCTTCAATAATCTGCTGTTCACCATCTGGTATTACTTTATGGTCAATAGTCAGGGTATTCTCTTTGAATGATCTTTCAAGTTGAGCAAAATACAACAGCTGGTTCTTTAATTCATATGATAATAGTTAGTCTAGGATTAGATTTTGGGCTCTAATATTAATAAGTAGCTTGAAAGTAAGGTATGAAATTGCTTCTACTCTCGACTAAATCATCAATGAACTTTAAGACTTTCTCAGCTTCTACATTGATAGACTTTTCTATTCAAAACTTCAACTATTAAAGTTCAATATTTCAATTTAGGGGTTATTAAAGGGGTTTTGGGGTTTTGGGGTTTTGGGG